CCCCAAAACCCCAAAACCCCAAAACCCCATAAGTCATAATATCTCAGATATCATCAGATTATTTAAGAAAAATAGAATTGATAGATTACTTGTAAATGAATCAATCACAATAAATTAATATTCTTTCGATAATAGAATGAGTTCTTAACATAAGTCAACTAAAATGAATATGATAAAGTAAAAAGTAATTCCTGATATCGCAGATTTGTAATCTTAAGGCTTCTCTATTAATGATGAAGATCTTGAGTCACAGATGAACACCGCTTGAAGTCTCATTTGCAATAGAAATAACTAATACTTGGCTAATGAAGAACTCATTTATTCTGTAAAAAATCAGCATAATTCTGTCGTCGAGGACAATATTGGTTTTGCATACTTCGTCATAAACTCCCCTGATAAATAATAATCAAGACAAGCACAGCTCACTTAATATATAAAGGAATCTGAATAATTTTAATACAATCAAAGATACTTTATAAGTAAAGACATACCCAAGGAGAAGCATATTCCGATAATGGGTTATGCTCATAACTTTTACCCAGCAATCTTTGATGATCACAATAGTACCAATTATAATTGTCAAATATGCAATGAAGGTCTTACAAAACATCAAGAACATTTTGAATTTTTCCGTTCTAATTTGAGTTAAAAACCGCGCAAAAAAAGACTTCATTCTTTCAGTGAACATGAAAAAAATGATCTCGTAATGGAGAGCAAAGAAATATTGGACTAAAAACTAAGATATTAGAGGGTGAACAGAGAAATTTTCAAAAGTAATGATAAAACATTCTTCTGCGATGTGTGCTACCTTGACTGTGAACTTGATAGCATAGTTTTCCTAGATTGCGGGCATTATTACTGTAAATACTGTCTCAAAGACTACTTTGAGGTAGCTGTTGAATAAACAGGATTGGTGCAAAAACTCAAATGCCCAAGTTCATAATGCGATTACAAAATAGATTAGACATAGATTTAAAGTTTACTATCAAAAGATTCATTTGAGAAATTCAAAAGACTCATGATAAACTATGAAGTGAGTAAACAGCCTAACAAAAGGTTTTGCCCTTTTCCTGGTTGTGAAAATATAGTCAGTGGCAAGAAAGGGTAAACCAAGACACTTTGTGACAAATGTCATAGAAACTTTTGTTATTCATGCTAGATCCCATGGCATCTTGGTAAATCCTGTGAAAAGGCATAGAAAGATCTCTATCAAGGATGGGCAGTCAATATCAGGGCACATAAGTGTCCAAAGTGCAATACACCTATCGAAAAAAATGAAGGGTGCAATTAAATGACGTGTTATGTTTGTAGATATGAATATTGTTGGTAGTGCGGACTACCAATGAACCACTTTATACATAAAGATTAATATAGTAATCCACTGAGCTGCTAGCACATCCCAAACACTAAAGCAGGATGGACATGCAGATCTGTATTATTTGTGCTGGGTTTCATCATTATTCCCATACTTTTACTCGTAGCTCCTTTGATTTATGGTTTAATACTGGGAGGTATGCTTGGTTATGAATGTTTGAGAGCTGTAAAGAAAATTGAGAATATGTGTTGCAAACTATTCTTATTCATTTCAGGGATACCGCTATTATTTCTACTAATAGGATTAGGTAGCATATTCGGAGGTGCAGTCGGGGCTGTAATGCTGCCTGTATTGCTGATTCCTGCTTATGCTTATCACTTGTTTGTTTTCTGCCGGATACTTCACTGGTGGAACAGATCGAGAATAAAGTAGTGACTTCTAAAAAGATTGAACATATAAATAACTTCATGTGTGCTATTGATTTAAGATTAATTTCCTTACTTTCAAATTTTCAATCCACCATTCGGGGTTTTGGGGTTTTGGGGTTTTGGGGTTTTGGGG